TTTGTATTTTTTTAATAGAGATGAGGTTTTACTATGTTGGCCAGGATGGTCTCGACCTCCTGACCTCGTGATCCACCTGCCTCAGCTTCCCAAAGTGCTAGGATTACAGGCGCAAGCCACTGCGCCCAGCCTGCTCTTTGTTTAGAATCAAGCGAAGGATATGACTCGAGATTCTGTCTCTGAGAAGCGAAAGCTTAAGAAGCTACAGACCTCCAGCAGCTGCTAAAGCAGGGCAGGCACTACCTCTAGTAGTCCAGGTAAAACCACACCATGAGGAAGATGGCCATGAAACTGCCTTTGCAGAATTGTAAGTAATGAGAGAAACCTAATATGACTGGCTCCATCTTGCTTCTAACCTCACAGTCTAAAGTTTTGTTTTTATTGTTTTTGCTTATTTTAGAGGAGAGGCCAAGATAACTAGGCGAGGAAGTTATAGTTAAACGTTGAAGCAAGGAAAACTGACCCTCCTCCTTGTTTCGAGATTGAAGCCACACTTCTAAGCCGAGGTTAGAGTTATGCTAGGGTCTGAACTTTGCTAAAGAATAAGCATAGTTCAACTAGGACCTGCATTGCTTAGCTGAGCTTGCTTTTCTATATGTTCCTTACTGCCCCAGAGTCACGCAAACAGAGGTTGCAAGACTTATAACTTCTCCAACAGCTTCTATAGGTGACATCACTATCGTGAATCCTAAAGAAAGGGTCTTTTCAGATAGCTTTCAGATTTAGCATCTGGCAGACAGACAAAGAGATGTCACCTGGTCCTCAGACTCTGCTTCCAATAACTGTGAGAAGACAGCTTAGACACCCCTGTGATTTCACACCCAGCCAATCAATTGTTTCAGCTCCCCAGCCCCCACCCACCAAACTACCCTTAAAAATTCTTGAGTTCTCAGGGAGGAAGATTTGAGAAACCTCTCCCATTCTCACACATGGCTGGCCCTGAGATTTAACTCTTTCTTGGCTGTTAACACTTCCTGTTCTCAGTGCCTTGGTTGTCTCAGGGTAGTGAGTGAGAAGAACCCATCAGGCTATAACCATGGCATTCTCCAGATGCTGTATGGGGCCCAGATGGAAGACAGCAGTTTTGTGAAGTCACAGGCCCCAGGCAGGAGCACCACCCCAGAAGAGAAAAGATATTAATGAAACTTTGTCTCCTGTTCCCGGAATTTCCACAATCACAGCAACCTCTTTCTGACCTGTGTCCCTGTTAAAACAATTGTGCATCAGCACCATCTGTCTCTGTGGGTCAGTTCTGACCCTGTCTTAAGTCTCACTTATCTTTTGATGCCCTCTTGCCGCTCTAAGGTGCCATGCGTTCCCAGTCCACACTGATGTCCCAGGAGTCGGGCAGTGTGATCAGAATATAAAACGTCCAGTGAGAGGTGATAAACACGGAACTGAAATATTCATTTTTAAGTTGATTCAGTTAAAAACAAAAGTGCTTTAAATAAAATCTGAAACATCAGCTTTATGGTCGTTATACTAATTGGAGAGGTGTTGGGCCAGGTGGCACTGTCTCCATCTCCATCCTGTCCCAGCACCGACACAGCACTAGGATACCGAATGCACTTCCTTAATGGTCGCTCAACTGAACAGAATATGACAGGTCATTAGACAGAAGCCTCTGAAATAGGGGTTTCTCATCTCCAGAAGGCCTGGAAGAGTGCTTAAATTGATATGAAAGGGTTTTCTATTACAATGCAGACGAATTCCCCTATTAAGAACTTCCAGAGTCTCAAAAGGTCAAGTTCCCCTTGCAGTCTATAAAATCAGATGGGAGAGTCTGAGGGTATGGGTGGGAACCCTGGCATTCCCCCTGTGAGCTCACAGACTGTTTTTAGCACTTGCCGCCCATAGGAAGTGCCTTGGGAATGGTATCTAAGCAGCTGCAGAGCAGGGGCAAGTTCTGCCTTCAGTCAGGAGCGATGCTGTTAGACTGGTAGGAACAGGACAGATGTCTTGTTTGCCAAGCAACACTTCTTGTCATTCTGCTTCTTCTCACCAATTCAGCTGGGAGACTGCATTGTAAATCTGAGTTATCTGTGTGCACCTCTGACACCGCTCCAATTTTCCCCATTTCCCTGAACTCACAATATCCTGGTCTTCAGCCTCAATCCCCGAGCGGCATACCCAGTGCCGTGGCACAGCTGAGACCCTCTTTCCTTCCTATGACTGCTCACAAGCACTGTGGCTCCTCCGCGCTGTCTGTCGTGAAAACGCAGGTGCCGTCTCTGACGCATCACTTCCCATCACTCACCTTTGGTGCTCTTTCTCTGCCATATATATGATTTTAGATTCAGGACTGCTCGGGAATGGGAGTACGGCTACACACAGGAAAACGAGAGGCAGGGAGAGAAACCAATTCAGTGAGGAGCGGAGGCATAGGACTGTGGTGTGTGCATCCAGGGCCACAGAAACAAATGTTAATCCAAGCTGTCAGCTTAGAATAGTCCCTGTATGAAAGCTTAAAATGAAATGTGGTGTGCTACATACACCGAGAGGAACAGGGCAAACTGTTTTATTACAGTAAACGCTACTTCAAAGAAATTGAACTGAATCAAAGGCATGGCTGCCTGACACATGCAGCGACGGGTGCAAGACGGACTAAAAAATACTTCAAACGTAGTGTGCTGAAACCCTTAATTTAAAAAACGAAAAGTACTTTGAGTTTCTTGCTTTGTTTTTCTTCAATATGTAGATGCCAAGTTTTAGCTTTCATATGTATACGCTCAAGTAATTAAACTCTTAAAAAACTATCTCATAGTCCTGACTTCTTCTGCTGAGGCAAAGCTGAAAGTAACAGGAAGGGGTGAGTTCCTGTGGGGTCCTCCTCAGTATGAGTCGTCCTGTTTTCCGCCTTGCAGTCATGGGTGACAGAGCACAGTGACTGGTAAGAGTGCGGTGACCATGTGGATGCTGTTGGCTGGGCCACATGCTGAGCCAGCTGCCCAGTATTCCCAAGCACCTGCTGGACTGACCCAGGGCTGGGCAGGGGCACAAGTCCTTTTTTTTCTTTGAAACAAGGTCTCACACTCTTGTCGCCCCAGATGGAATGCAGTGGCACGATCACAGCTCACGGTAGCCTTGCATTTTTCGTAGAGATGAGGTTTCATCACGTTGCCCAGGCTGGGCTCGAACTCCTGGGGTCAAGCGATCTGCTTGCCGAGGCTTCCCAAAGTGCAAGTATTACACCGTGCCCAGCCCACAAAGCTTCTTAAAGACCTGTAGGAGGTGAAACACCTACCCAGTGTATGGGCTCATCCACTTATTTAGGAACTTTGCATTAAGCGCCTGTTCTACACTAGGCCCTGGGGGTTAAGCAGCAAAATGCGGCAGAGGCATGAGGCCTGCGTTCCTGAGTGAGAGAGAACCAGCAAGCAGAGACAAGATGAGGGATGAACTAGGTAACAAGTCTTTTCTTACAGCCCCAAATTAATCCTTTACTAATTATTAATATTTTATGCCATTCCAGACTAACCTTACAGTTTAGTAAGATAGCCGGTAAGTAGTATTTTTACTTAGAATTTAAATTATCATCATTTGCCATCTATTCAAAGAACATTTAAAGATACAGAATTAAAATTAAACAAATGGCAAATAATCAAAGTATTAAGAAATGAGAGTGTGGAAAAAAAGAGAAAAAGCTCACATACAATCCTGTTACTCAGGCTTCTAGAATGACACTGCCTTCTTTCTCTCCCTGTATAAATATAACCTGTAACTTCCAAAAATATCCTTAGTTCTTGGGGGCCACTTTGCTCAAAGTGACAAGCACGTCAAGTAAACCTATTTCCAGTTACATTCTTATCTTGTCTGCGTCAAGATGGTTGATCATCTTTATCACACAATTAGTCAGCAAAAGTAAAGCTAGACAGAATTCCATCAATTTCCACCGTCACGCTTTTTTAGCCAGACCTGCACTTGACCTTCTGAAATAGTAATGCAGGCAGGTGGGTCACGTGACTTGCTGAACAACCTGAAGGACGGAACCATCACAGAATGAGTCACCTGCAAGCAGCCCAACAGGCAAATGTTTGCCTTCTGCACCTATGTTCAAGGTGGCCTCACAGGTTGACAAAATAAATTATCAGTAAATTCTTAGGATTAAATTCTTATTTGTGCTTCTCTGTCCAGTTTAAAAGCACACACGCGCGCGCATGCACACACACACACACACACACACACACACACACACAAATTGACAAGAATAAATTATCAGTAAATTCTTAGGATTAAATTCTTATTTGTGCTTCTCTGTCCAGTTTAAAAGTACACACACAGTTTAGGGGGAGACTGGCTTTGTCAGGTAAACGCATGTCAGAGTTCAGTGGCTGGATGTGATTGGCAATTCGCAGCATCGTCGTATCTGCTAACAGGTCAAAATGCAGATCGTCATGAAGACCCTGATCGGCAAGACCATCACCCTGGAGGTGGAGCCCAGTGACACCACTGAAAATGTGAAGGCCAAGATCCAGGATAAGGAAGGCATCCCCGCCGACCACCACAGGCTCATCTTTGCACGAAAGCAGCTGGAAGATGGCCGCACTCTTTCTGACTACAACATCCAGAAAGAGTCGACCCTGCACCTGGTCCTGTGTCTGAGGGGTGGCTGTTAATTCTTCAGTCTTGCATTAGCAGTGCCCAGTGATGGCATTACTCTGCACTATAGCCATTTGCCTCAACTTAAGTTTAGAAATTACAAGTTTCAGTAATAGCTGAAGCTGTTCAAAATGTTAATAAAGGTTTTGTTGCATGGTTTAAAAAAAAAAAAAAAAGTGCACACACACACACACATAAAATCACAAAAGCATCAAACGGATAGCTTAACTCTCACATGTTGAGAGGTCTTGTTTGTAAGCTATTTATTGCCTTAGGGAAGTTATCTAAGACATTTTTCTTTTCATAAGTGAATATTATTGTCTAAAGAAAATAATCACTAGTGGACAAGTTTTTTTTCTTTTTTTTTTTTAGACCAATATACAGAACGTGTGGTAGGTTATTTCTTATCGTTCCAATTTTTTAAAAAAAAAAAAAAAAAAGTCTTCAATTAAAATCTCTCAATTCTGCTGTCTTATCAAAGGCAGATTTCCTGGCTCCCAACCAAGGAAATATTAAAAGCTGTATAACTGAAACACAAAATCATGGCAAAAAAAAATTTAAAGCACAAATACCAACCTTATATTACCAAAGGAATCTGTTAAAAATTACTGACAACTTTTATTCTGATAAGTTTTGAAATTAACAGTTTGGTTGACTGCTCAGTTGAGGATAAGAAGAAAGTGAACGACACATTTTGTTTAATGACTCTTTTCCAATCTTATTTCCCTTTGATCATTTTATAAAAATCAAAGAAAAACTGCTCATTTCTTCATTTTTGCTCTGGACTTGATAAAAGGCTCATTCAATGCTGACACATATCATACAAACTTCCCAAGAAAGGGGGAAAACATCACATCAACTTTAACAAATGCTGTCATTTTTCTTTTTAAAATTTCTAAAGACTCAACTGCTACTCTAGACCATGTTTTCTGTATACAACATATGCAAGCAGAAAGTCCCGGAGCCTGAGGCTTAGCTGCCTCAGGAGTCCCAAAGGGTGAGGAGGGGTTCTCTCTGGAATCAGATTCAAATAACCGTTTGTATCATATTACATAAATCTTCCCTCCCAGCTACTTCATCTGGACTAAATTCTGGAAACCTCCTCATGAACTTTGGTGACAAAAGCAGCTAATGACTAAACATGATATACCACAGGCTCCACATCCTTAATTCGCGGTGTTTGTACATGATACTATGTTTTAGGCCCACCAGGTTGTCCTCCTGTTTTGGAATTCTATCTAACTGATCAATACATGCAGAAGTTAAATGAAAGTGTGAGGCTTGGCCACAACTTCTAGGTAATAAATTTGCAGAAATTCAGATGTTCAGAGTTTGAACAAGGAAGATCTTAACACATCCAGATTGATTCTTCTCCCAATGTTCCATGTGGGTATTACACTCAAAGCAGGGGAAATACGTATGTAGACATTTATTTAGGTGGCAGTTTGGAGAGAGATAATTAATTCTCAGAATTAATTATTCACTTGAGGCGAACTTATTTTAACTATTGACCTTACGACAAAAAGTACACATACCTTTTTTCTAAATCTCTGATTTTCTCTCTTAGTGGTTCAACAATCTAGAACAATAATAACAAAAATCAGTTTTAAAGCAAAAACATAGTCCTCAACCCCTTTCACCCCATTCTGATGTTTAAGCAGGACATAATGCAACACAGGTTTTAATTTCTTCTACAAATAAACTTTCAGTTTGAAATTAAGATATACCACTTGAGTCACAATGCTAGAATTGAGTAGATAAACTATCCATTTGAACTCTTACTCCATAAATGCCTCAGTTTTTGAGACAATTAACATTTTTGCTCACCCATCTTACCAGGAAGAATGTAAAAGGTGTTTCTGGCTCATAAAAACAGATCAACACTATCCATCTATTTTTAGGAAGAATCCCCAAAGTGTGGCCCACAAAAGGGTAACGTCTTGTTTCTGTAATTATTGTGTATATTTATGTTATCAGCTGCAGCACATAAACTGCAGGCTGCAACCCACATCCACGTCTGTAGACACTGTGGGCTCAGGCAGAAAGGGAGCAACCCAAGGGCTTCCCAGAACTCCCACAATTGGCTGCTTATCCAAAGTAACCTCCCATCCCCTCTCCCACAGCCCATGTTACAACAGTCTGGCTGTATCTTTATGTATTTAAATAGGAGGTGTATAAACTAGCACAGGTGCTAGTCTTCAGCTGGGTGGCAGTACAACATACCCATCTGTGCACATGGACACTCTACATTTGTGGCCAAGCATCCGATTGGGGGCCATTTTTCTTTTTGGCATCTGTGCTAGTGAAGAGGATGTTGGTACTCGTTTCTATCTCCCAAAGATAATCACTTCCCTTTCTCTAAAAAGGCTTACCTGAAAAGTCATGTAAAAGTCTAAATCCATTTTGTCTTTAAGGTAGAACTTGTTTTATTTGGTCAAAAATGGACCAACAGTAACAGATTGCACGTCCTCTTAAATAACAAGAGATGGTTTCAAATCACAGAATAGCACCAAGCTGCCATAATAAGGATGACGGCATGAGCAAAGGATGTGAAATTGACAAGTATACAGACAAAATAGATACAAAAATGGAAAAGAGACTAACCTCTTCAATCTTGCTTTCAATTTTTAGTTCGCCGTTTTCCTGGATAGACCTGTTGAGTAGAAAACTATAAACTGAAATCAACTGAAAGGCTTTGTGACTTCAAGATTGTTTCTGAATCAACTACCCTAACACAACCTTGAAGGCTGCAGACCACCTCTATCTCCTGCTCAAGTATCAGTCACGTGTGCAATTCCCTCCAGAGGGGATGCACCAGAGGAAAAGAAGACAACCAAGGGAGGGAATCCCCTTAAATCCATCTATGAATATGCTCAGTATTACTGAATGAATTATTTCCACTAAACTAAAATAATCTCGCTGCCACGCTACATCCAACACAGGATTTTAAATTAGAAGCAGGAAGTGTGTCTATAGGAGTACAGGTTTACCTGCTGGGCTTTCCTGGGGATTTAATATAAAATGGAGTCTTTTAAGTAAAACCACAGAGCTCCTTTAAATGGGATCTGAGCACCCCACCTAGTCACACACAGCAGCCTTTGTCAGTAGACACACACATGCCCTGGTGGTAGGATTCGGATTAACACCATCCCACCTACCTTGCAAAACACAACTCCACATGAAAAGCCTCCTGAGGGCATAGTAACCTTTTACCCTAGTAGACATGTGCAGCCTCATTACATTCCAATACCAACCTAATCATTACAATAGCAATTCGCACAACATAACAAAGTGGAGCAAATTTTCCTTTAAATGGAAAACTATTAACAGTGCCAAATGTGTTTTTACAATAAATGCTTATTTCTTTTCGCTGATTTTTAAAGACTATTTTTATAATTTGGTAAAGAGATAACACAAAAGTTTTATTTTTACAAGAGATCCTCCTGCCCTAGGAAGAAGCACATATGATGCATATAGGCCTAACCGTGGACTAAATAGGTGGTCTCAGCATCCACATCCACTAGCTGGCACCTCTGGGGTCACAGGCCAGCCATGGCTGCCCTAAGACGGCTCCCTTCTCAAAAGGCTTTGCAAAAGCCCCTCAGTGTTCTTGCTCAAGCCACCCAGAAATGCAATGTACATAAGCTAGGGTCAACCCTTTATTATCTACACAAGGATAAAAGGGAAGAGTGGCTGACCATTGCTTTACTTGTGGGCTTTACTAGGTAATTGTTAAAATCGGTTAAACTCCTTGAGAATACCCACAGGAGAAAAGAAATAGCCCAGATATGTGATTAGCAAGAACCTGGTTTTGTGTTTAAAATATTTTTCAATTAACCTATGACATCCGTGGTATATATGTACCAACTGAAATGTGTCTAAAACCCGACCACAATACGAAAGTAATTAAAAATCATTACCTCATATTAACGAAGTTGCCCCAAACAGCTGTAAGAGAAAGTAAAAAAAAAAAAAAAAGTCAATATTTAAGTCCATAACTTTCAGGGATTCCAGTGGACAGAATCTTAAATTTTAAGCAATATTTTAAAGTTTATGAAGAAAATTAACTTATCTCAGGAAGACAATAAAATGCACACTTTATTTTGAAAACAATTAAGTCTTACTACATAGTAAGTAAAAACAGGATTGGCAGAATTTATTCATGCCAAGTTTGAGAACTGCAACCAGGAAGATTGACTCAAGTTGCCCTGAATATATGCTCCCAACAGCAGCAGTGACAAGTGGACTTTTAAAGGAAGAGGTAGTTTCTAAGTTATCAAGAATTTACATTAAAATGACATAAGCTACTGACAGGCTATACATTGTTTTTTTTTGTTTTTTTTTTTTTGTATCAAAAATTCCAGGAAAAAAATATTGGGTGAGGCAGCTGGGCAGAAACAAAATGCCTTTAAAGAACTGGCCCTGGGCATGGCAGGGCATGACTTTTGTCCCATGTTAATGACTCTCTGGGCCTGATAAATTCTGCATACCTCACATGGCTCACTCACATTGCTCTGAGCTATTTTTATTTTCTATCTATCCCCATACTTTTGGAACACCTCTTTTGGGGTCTGGAGACCCCACTTGGAGAGTGCATGTAGAGCTTTTTTTTTTTAAGTGACAGATCTCCTTTGTTAACCAGGCTGGTCTCTAGCAATCCTCCCTCCTTGGCCTCCTGAGCAAGTGGGACTACAGGCATGTGCCACCACATCTAGCTAAAGGATGCATGTGTTCTGATAAACAGTATGTTCTCAACCTTTGAGGAAGAGCTAGCCACAAAAATCAATCACAAGTCTGAAAGAAGTCCGAAGGTACCATTTAACGGCCATCTCCCGTACAATGATGATGAAAGCAATCCCAGAAAGGTTTGACAGCGGCCTGCAGTGCAGCTTAACTCCAAGAACAGTGCATCCTTTCTCAGCACTTGGCACATCTCCCTTCTATACTCTAGGCACCTGGTGGGCAGGCTCTCCCGTGCCTGTATACAGCGGGCCTTCAGTAAATGTGTATAAATCAGCCCTGAATCAACAGGAGATGACTTTGAAACATAATACTAGACCATGAGCACTCACTTTAAGTTACTGAGCAGGAGATTCTTTCTAAAGGAGGCTTTTCTGTGAATGAAGGGTCCTAATATTTTGTACACACTCCTATTTGGC